ACTCCTGAGCTTCATGGATGCTTACTCAGGATAAAACCAAATCCTCATGAACCCTTCGAACCAAGAACACACAACCTTCACTACTGACAGGGGACTATATTGCTATAAAGTCATGCCATTCGGCCTAAATAATGCAGGGACGACTTATTAGAGACTAGTCAATTCAATGTTCGCCGAACAGATTAGGAAGAGCATGGAAGTTTACGTTGATGATATGCTAGTCAAGAGCAAACATGCTGACCAACACATCACCAACCTATCTGAAACTTTCACCATTCTGAAGAGGTGTTGAATGAGGTTGAACCCCAACAAATGTGCCTTCGGCGCAGGCTCTGGCAAATTCTTAGGCTTCATGATAAGCCATCGAGGCTAATCCCTAGAAGATCAAAGCAACCCTCGACATGAAGGAACCAGTAACTTCAAAAGACATCCAAAGCCTTACTGGCAAGGTGGCAGCCTTAACTAGGTTCATCTCTAAGGCCACAGATAGATGTGCTCATTTCTTCAAAACACTTAAGGGAAGTAAGAAGTACATTACATGGACTGATGAATGTGCCGAGGCATTCAATGACTACATGAGTAAAGTCCCTCTGCTCTACAAACCTGAGCTTGGTGACACTCTCATTATCTATATGTCGGTATTGATTTCAACAGTAAGTTTCACTCTCATTCGAAATGATGGTAATGTCGAACGGCATGTCCGCTACGCTAGCAAGGCCTTACAAGATGCGGAGACACGATACTCCAACATTGAGAAATTGGCTCTAGCATTGGTCATGTCTGCTAAAAAACTTCGCCCTTACTTTCAAGCACATTCCATCATCGTGCTTACCAATCATCATCTTCGACAGATACTTCAAAGTCTTGACACTTCTGGGTGAATGATCAAATGGGCGATAACATTAGGTGAGTTTGACATCTCCTACCAACCAAAGCCAGCTGAGAAGGGCCAAGCAGTGGCAGACTTCATTGCCGACTTCACATATCCTGTTGACATTGTTTCTACGCCTAAAGAAGTGGTTTCAGTACCCTCGGAAGCTCATAAAATATAACCAACAGCCCCAACATGGAGTCTATATGTTGATGGCTCGTCCAACCAACAGGGTTGTGGAGCAGGACTAGTCCTTACGACCCTTAACAAAGTGGCGATGAAGTATGCTCTTCGTTTCAAATTCAAGGCATCGAACAATGAGGCCGAATATGAAACCCTCATAGAAGGCTTATGTTTGGCCAAACACCTTGAGGTTAAACGAATTGATATATTTAGTGACTCCCAATTGGTGGTTAACCAGGTCACTAACAACTTTGATGCTAAGGATAGCTCCATGGCAGCATATCTGGCACAAACACAATTGTTGCTCAAGCACTTCCACTACCAGATCACCCAAATTCCTCAAGCGTCAAACAGTCATGCAGATGCTTTGGCTCGGCTCACCTCAGCAGTGGAAGAAAAGATTAGGAAAACAATTCAGGTCGAATTGTTGGCAACACCAAACACCATGGATGCGGAAGTGTGCAACTTACAACAGGGGGATAGTTAATTACCCCGATTTATAGATTCCTTGCTCATGGCACCCTTCCAAATGACAAAGTCCAAGCTAAGCAGATTTGATACAAGGCTACCCGTTACTTGATCATTAATGACCAACTCTACAAGCGGGATTTTAACCTACCATACCTAAGATGCCTTACGCCCGCAGAGGCGGAAACTGTCCTTCCGGAAATACATAAATGAGTCTGCGAAGATCATGCTAGATCTCGATCCCTAACACACAAAGCTTTTCACCAAGGATATTATTGGCCAACACTCCACCAAGATGCCATCAGAATATCCCGCTCATGTGATAAGTGTCAACGCTACATAATTATTCCTCACTCCCCTCCCGAGCCGCTCATTCCTATGATCAGCCTTTGGCCCTTCGTCTAATGGGAACTTGATTTGATCGGCCCAATGCCTGCAGAGAAGGGCAAGGTCCGCTATGCAATTGTTGCAGTTGACTACTTCACAAAGTGGGCCGAAGTAGAACCCTTAGCAACCATTACTGAGGCAAAAATAGAAGACTTCGTATGGAAGAACATCATTTGTAAATTCAGTATTCCCAATGCGAGAGTCACTGACAACGGGCGAAAGTTCGACGATAATAAGTTCATGATGTTCTGCTCTAAGTTCAACATCAACTTATGTTTTGCCTCCCCAGCTCATCCATAGTTTAATGGACAAGTCAAAGCCATCAATAAAATAATCAAGTGAACTTTGAAAACCAGCTTGGACAAGGCTAAAGGTTGATGGCCAGAATTTGTACCCGCAATTCGTATCGGACATTAACAATAGAAACCCCATTCTCACTTGCCTTAGGTACAGAGGCAGTTGTCCTAGTTGAGCTTGAGCAAGCAACGTTCTGAGTTTAGAACTACGTGCAAAGCGAAAATGACAAACAACTTACCCTCAACTTAGATCTAGTCGAGGAACACCGAAACTAGGCTCACTTGAGGAATGTCGCCTACAAGCAGCATATCTCCAACTATTATGACTCAAGAGTCAAACCATGTTCTTTCAAAGTGGGGGACTGGGTATTGAAGAAAAAATTACTCTAAGACAGAGTCCCGAGTGAAGGAACACTTAGTCCAAACCAGGATGGATCGTTTGAAGTTGTTGGCATCAGTCGCCCTGGCTCCTACAAGCTTAGAAGCTCCGATGGCAAGATACTTGGCCATCCATGGAATGATGATCACTTGAAGTACTATTACAAGTAAACTCACATTGTACAAGTGTTAAACTGCAGCCATTCGACATCCTATGTAACGAAGACTATTTGGCATGAATTCAATAAAGAGGTGATTTAGACAACTCAGTCGTAATCCTCTTACATTCTTAGCAATGAAACGCTCGGGTTCAAAGCTTTAACATGAATGTTTCTAACATGAAACTAAATCTAAGTATATGTCAATAAGACTATACAAATAAACGAACAGCTTCATAGTATATTCGTTCAATCATACATTCCAACACATTCATACACAAGCCAACTGTGCTTCGAAAGGGTTCAACATATTTTTGTCATTCGACACTTGCTACAATGTGCCTCGACACCTTGCCTTTATTCTTACCAACCAGGTGATGAAATGTGAAGAAGGAAGTCATCTTCATGCCACCAACCAGGTGATGAAATGTACAACTCGTACTCTCCTTCATGCCACCAACTAGGTGATGAAATGTACAACTCGTACTCTCTTTCATGCTACTAACCAGGTGATGAAATGTACAACCTGTACTCTAATATCATTTGGCAACTTGTCATTCATGCCACTAGCCAGGTGAAGAAGGAACTCATCTTCGTGCCACCAACCAGGTGATGAAATGTGATGAAAGGTGATGAAGGAACTCACCTTCGTACCACCAACCAAGTGATGAAAGCAACTCACCATTCATTCCACCTACTAGAAAACGAGTGATACAACTTGTATATGTGAACTCCTAGCATTCACAAATAATAAAAAACCCTCAAGCTTGACAACTCAACTAGGGGAGCACTTATGCCCAACAAGAGTTATAGTCACCAACAAAGTTGTTGATGCACAAAACCGGAGGTCTTGGAACAACGTAAATCCGACCGTGAATCTGCATGAAATGTAAATAACACGAAATGTATCGTGGTTCACCCCAAGGTTTGGGCTACGTCCACATTGATTGTATTTCTCTGACTGTATGTATGGATTACAAAGGTGATGGGAGTCCCCATGAGGAAGAGAGTGTTGTTGTGTTTGTGAGGGTATTGCCTTCTATTGGGTTTACCGAGTCCGATTCGTGAGGGGGAATGAGTCACTTTTTATAGAATAATGGGCTCCTCCTTTTACATAATCATATGGGCTGGGTAATAAGGCCCAATGTATCAAAGTCTGAGGCCCAATATGTGTGGTACCAACAGTAGTCCCTCAAGTCTTCAGTCAAGAGAGTCATTTGGTTGGAGACTTTAAATCCAATCCATGTACTAGCCGAAGTGGCTAGATGTCTTGAACCAATACTCAACCCAAAGCAATGCTCAACATAAAGCAATACTCGGCTAAAGGTATCACACGTTACCAGACTGCTCGACTGGAGGCGATGCTTATTGTGAGGTTGCTTGGCTAGAGGCTATGCTCGCGGCGAGGCGTTTGCTCGGTTGGAGGCGATGCTCGTTGCGAGGCGGCTCGGCTAGAGGCTATGTTGGCTACGAGGCAGCTCGGCTCGTGGTATTCCTCATTGCAAGTATCTATTTTATGTCGACATGCAGTCAATATGAGTTGATTCTCGACATGACTCGGGTCTGCTTGTCGGGTTCGCATATTGGGTCTATATGTCGAATCCGCGGATCGGGTCCGCAAGTCGGGTTTGAGTTAGGGCCATACGTAGGGTCATCGAGTTTAGGCTATCTCTAGGGTCATTGAGTTGGGGCTATCTGTAGGGTCATCGAGTTGGGTCCGGGCACATAGGTGTCCCAATAAGCGAATGTCCGAGCAAGTGGGTGTCCCAACAACAATGTTGATCAGTGAATCTAGTTACTCAATAATTCCTAACAATAAATGATAGTGTAAGTATAACCGTATAATGAATAAATCAAATTGACAAAGTTTGTCAAGGCAAAAATATTGTACTGTGTGCCTTATGTGAATAAATGATTTATTCTGTTATGTGATAAATCACATGTTGTATAAATCAATAATGTGGTAGTAATCATGTGATAACAAAAATAAAAATTATATTATTTAATCATAAATCATCATGACATAAAAATAATAAAATTATTATTTTATAATTAATCATCATGACATAAATAAAATAATAAGGTATTAAATAAAAAATGATATTGAGAAAACATAATGATGAGATATTAAAGGAGAGCATCTTATCTTTTTCCATGTGGGTGGTCGACAATAGCAGATCCATCTCACATGATTGTACCAACAACAACCCTAAAGACCAAGAAAGTATGGTCAAAATATTGTTGAGTATACTGAACTTATCACATGGTTGCTGGGTAAAGCTTCAGATGATATCTCAAAGTACCAGAGACCAAGAAAGTATGGTAAAAAATATTCCTCTCGCACGTTCCTCCCCGATTGTGTCTGTCAAAATATTCCACAATATTGAGAGGGTTCTGACAATAATGGAAAAGAGAAGGACCCAGACACTGAGTGCTCCAACATTTCCTCTCCTTCGAGTTTTGTGTGCTCCATCGCCGGACGTTGCGGATGAGCTGCTTGAGCTCATGCGAGAGAAATCTCCGAACTTGGAATTTTTGCTGTCTAGATCTGCCACCCTCACACCCTCTAAGTTTATTTTCTCTTTTATTTCTCAGATTCAGTGATGGAATCAGTGAAGAAAACCTTGGGGGACGTGAAAGAACTTTGATATTATGGCATTTTTCAAGACACTTATATGCAGCTTCAATATCTGCATATGTATTCTCCTTACTTGCCTTTCCAGTTGATTGCACATACCCCGAATAGTCGTACCCCATGAGATTGACGTGCAGGTGGATGCTCAATTCGATGAAGAGCTCGTACATATGGCCTAGATCGGCGGCGTTGCCGTGTGAGTAGAGCAGTGTGGAAATGGCCAAAGGGTGGTGAATGTGGATGGCCACAACCTCAATGCCATGGAGGGTCGACAGTTTCAGAACCTCCACATTTTCCCGGTGAGGGAAGGGGCTGAGAAGCAGGAGGCCGGTATGGTCGTCTGTGATAAACTTGTAGGAAGGTGGGTTCGGTGTGAAAAAGGCGGACTTAGCCACCATGGACGATGTCACCCCACCCATATCACTCCCTCTCTCAAAACTGGCAACTCAATCATTCACTCTCTCTCCTCTTTCTTTCTCTGTAATGGGAAAAAGAACGTATTTTTTTGTTTGGGTTTTTGCGAATTGTTAGTATGGGAAGTGAGTTTAGATCGACATTCCTTTCTTTTTTTCCTTTTCTCCAGAAGTTTATTCTTTACGGAAAAAGAAAAAGAGAGAGAGAAAGAGAGCTTTTCCGAATTTGGAGTTTTCACAGAGAGAAAGTAAAAGGGAGGGACGAGCAGCTTTGTGTTTATGGGGGTTTCTGGAAAAGCCCAAGGAGGGAGGTTTTGGGTTTCTGCAGATTCACGATGGAGTGTGGTGAGATCTCACGGTGGTGAGATGGACAAATGAAAGAGAACCGACATAGTTTTTCGTGTCGTTTCCCACAAACGGCGCCAAATGTTGATGCACAAAATCAGTGAGGACTTTGGTACAACAGAAAATGTTAAGTTTGTAACCTTCACTAGATTGCTCCCGTCACTAGTGTGAATAAGTATGTAAATGGATAGGGACAGGGAAGTAAACACAAGATGTACGTGGTTCACCCAGATTGGCTACGTCCACGGAGTAAAGGAGTTCTCATTAATTGTGAAGGGTTTACACAAGTACATAGGTTCAAGCTATCCTTTAGTGAGTATTAGTGAATGATTTAGTACAAATGACATTAGGAAATATTGTGAGAGAATGATCTCTATTTATAGAAGAGAGTTTCTAGTTTCATTCTAACATTGACAAGTGTCGTGTTGTGATTGGCTTCTAATGTTAACACGTGTCGTGCTATGATTGGCTTCTGATATCGACACGTGTCGCGCTGTGATTGGCCTCCTAGTTGGAGGGAAACTCTTCTGGGTTCTTGACGGTATAACATTGACCGGTGCTCAGTAATTTCAGGATTGGTCAAGTATGGTATAAACAAAAGTCTTATTGCAAGCCAACAACAACTTTAGTGCATGGCATACGAAGATCAAGTTATTCAGCCCTTTTGCATCTGCTTCAGACATTTCTCCTTTGTAACAATGCAAACACTACAACTCGTAGAAAGCTTCACACATTCTTGATTAAGACAATGTGAAGTAAAACCAATTTATGGTGCCAACAAGAGCTTCATCAAAGGAGTTCAACCATAATTCTTAAAAGCTTCACACACTTTTGATCAAGACACTGCGAAGCAAAACCAATTTATGGTGCCAACAAAAGTTTCATCAATAGAGGGCAATCACAATTCTCAAAAGCTTCACACACTCTTGATCAAGACAGTGTGAAGCAAAACCAATTTATGATGCCAACAAGAGCTTTATCAAATGAGTTCAACCACAATTCTCAAAAGCTTCACACACTCTTGATCAAGACAGTGTGAAGCAAAACCAATTTATGGTGCCAACAAAAGCTTCATCAATGAAGGGCAACTACAACTCGTAGAAAGCTTCACACACTTTTGATCAAGACTGTTTGAAGCAGATTCAATTTATATGGTTCATCCAAACCTTCAATTACTACAAGGTGTGGCTTGCATCACAAGCTCATGCTCAACAGTGTGGAAGAAAAATTTGTATATGTTGTCTCTCCCACATTTTTAAATTTCTAGTTTCCCAAAAAAAAAAACAAAAAACAAAAAAAGAGGGAAATTGGGAAATTCAACAAATTTCTAGTTTTCCAAAAAAAAAAAAATTAGGAAATTCAACAAAGCTTTATCAATGGAGTACTCATCTTCAACATTTTATGCTTCCAGAAAAGATACCACATCTACCTGAGTAACAGATAGGGCAAATGAGAAGAATATAAGGAAGCATGTGGAGACAAGCGCAACAGAACACGTGTCGATTCATCTATTACTTTGTCAATAGCAAAAGTATCCCATATCATCAAGGTCGAACGCACTCTTGGTTTGATGGACTTGTTTTGACCCTCAAATTCTTGAGTCGACCTTATACTCTGGAGGAAACCAGAAAACCCTCCAGCCCAGTTCAAGAATAAGCATGTGGAAAGTTACTTCTTCAAAAGCAAAAGTATCTCATATCATCTGTTCTCATTTTTCTTCTTTTTATCCTTCCTGCTACCTGCAAGATAGGGAGAATGAGAACAATCAGCCGGAACTCGAAATCAAACTTCTGATCTGGGACTGATTGCTGGGAGCTCTGATTGCTTACCTTGTCTGTTACATCTTTCGGCGGATCTCTTAACTCGGCGACTTGGGAGACTCCTACTACATGGTTTGTATCACGCTTGACCAAGCCTGAAACTACAAGTAAGCTTTAAGTGAAATTGATACATTACCTTATGCATCTCCACCAGTTAAGGATACCACCCCTGGATGGAGGAAAAGTACTTTCAGAGAAGATGCCACATCTACCTATGAGATAAATAAAGCAAGTGAAAACAATACCACACTTCAGTACTTAGAAGTTTCATGATTACTCAGTGGCTTGGATCTTGCAAGTCCCTAACCGAAGAGCTTCCCTCACTCGGGAACTTAGGGGAGCACTGTTTGTACCATACTTGACCAATCCCGAAACTACTGAGCACCGGTCAACGTTATACCGTCAAGAACCCAGAAGAGTTTCCCTCAAACCAGGAGTTCAATCACAGCGCGACACGTGTCGACATTAGAAGCCAATCATAGCGCGACACATGTTAACATCAGAAGCCAACACAACACGACACGTGTCAATGTCAAAACAAAGCTAGAAACTCTCTTCTATAAAAGGAGATCATTCTCTCACAATATTTCCTAATGTCATTTGTACTAAATCATTCACTAGTACTCACAAAAGGAGAGCTTGAACCTATGTACTTGTGTAAATCCTTCACAATTAATGAGAACTCCTCTACTTCGTAGACGTAGCCAATCTGGGTGAACCACGTACATCTTGTGTTTGCTTCCCTGTCTCTATCCATTTACATACTTATCCACACTAGTGACCGGAGCAATCTAGCAAAGGTCACATACTTAACACTTTCTATTGTACCAAAGTCCTCACTGATTTTGTGTATCAACAAAAAGTAAAATAAAAAACTAATACCCAAAACTAAAAGAAAAAAGTCATCATCGTCTTCATCAGGGTATGCTTAAAAAAAAAAAAAAAAAGGCACCATGACACCACTAAAGTACTTGGCCTCTTGAATTCACTCATCATTCTTTCTAGTTGGAGTAAATTGTAGCAATGGTCCATCAACTTTAATCAAATTAGAGCAATGGTCTCTCCTCAACTAAAAACGCATTACCATTGGTCCCTCAACTCATCAAAATGTGTAGCTATGGTCATTTTTGTCAACTTCGTCAGAATTTTGTCAAAATAAGTTATGTTGGAAGGATCATGGCTACAATTGGGGTCTCTTAACTCATCAAAACATGTAGATATAGTCGTTTTCGTCAACTTCAACTTCGTTAGAATTTTATCAAAATGAGTTAAGTTGGAAGGATCATTGCTATAATTGGGTTAAAGTTGAGGGACCATTGCTCCAATTGAGTTAAAACTAAGGGATCATTTCTCCAGTTGGATTAAAGTTGAGGAACTAATGGTAATGGATTTTTAGTTGAAAGATCATAGCTGCACATTTTGATGAGTTCATGAGGGACCAATGGTAATGCATTTTTAGTTGAGGGACCTTTGCTCTAATTGAGATAAAGTTAAGGGACTATTGCTACAATTTACTCTTCTAGTTGGTTATGATCTTATCAAAATTTGAATTGAATTTGTATTTGATTTTATGCGAGAAAAATGTCAGGCCGAATGCTCATTCGTTGGTTTACTCTTAAAAAAAAAGTAGTTTCTTATAGTTAATCCATGTGGAGCTATATGATTGGATTAGTGGGTCCACATCAGCACACAAACGAAAATTATTGATGAAATTTTAATGGAATGACTAACTTGTTGTGCGATAATGAAAGTCAGGGACCAAATTTATTGATTTTTGAAACTTAGTGACCAAAATGAGGAGTTGGATCAATATTAGAGATTATTTGTGATAAAAACCTTATTTTATGTAATCCATGTGTCACCATTTCAGTAGTTTCATGGGTCTCACATACAAACTAACAGAATAGTTAATGAAATCTTAACAGAATGACCAAATTAATATGCAATAGTGAATGTCATGGACCACATTAATTGATTTTGAAAAAAAAAATGATCAAAATGATGAGTTTGATAAATCTCAGAGATCATTTACGATAAAAACTCTAAATTTTATGCACATGACTTGTGAAGGGTGGTTGACTTTACACAGACTCTCCGAATTCCGTGCCCTTTCCCTCGTGAAAAGCTGTTTTAAGTGCATTTTCATTCTAATGTTTTGTTCGTAACTTTCTACAGCGCCATCTTTTTCTTCTTCTTCTTCTCTTCTCCTCTCATCTGTTTCCACAAACTTCAATGCAAAAACAACAAAGCCCAACGTTCAAAAAATCCTCTATTTTGTTAGTCACCATTCTTTTCGCCATTGTTTTATGATTACCCACTTTCCGTTTGTTTCTCTGGAAAATCACATTGGAAGGCAAACGTAGGTAAAAGAAAATGCTATCTGATCAGCGGTTTTCTTATCCCTTCTGTCAAAACAAGAGAATTGGTTAATTTTTTTGGTTTTATGATTGCTAATGGCTTTTTGTTTGGTGGATTTTGGATCTCGGCAGGTGTGGGGTGCTGTGTGTGTGAGGAGTAGAACGTATGGCGTACAAGGTGGATCACAAATATTATTATCTCTTCAAGATTGTATTGATTGGAGATTCAGGTGTCGGAAAATCGAACATTCTTTCGAGGTTTACGAGGAATGAGTTTTCTTTGGAGTCTAAGTCCACCATTGGAGTTGAATTTGCAACTAGGACATTGCATTGCAGGTTGGTTTTGTTTGGAAAATATTGATCATTTGCAATTTTCCTGCTTCTAGCTTTTCTGTTTTTTAATTTTTGTTTGAATTGAAGCAATGGTGAAAGAATACATTATTTATAGAATTGTAGGAAATCCTTATAATTGTCTCCTGAAAGT